CTTATCACAGGTGTATTTCTATAGTAGAACTGAGAGTTCACACAGATTTGTTTTTAGTTATTTGGATAATATTTATGATAGACTTCACTTCTCAATGCCTTTGTCATTTGGCATATGGTGAAAAGATGGCACAGGAAAGCTGACATGTTTGCAAACTCTCAAGTGATTGTAAACTTAATTATACATCCAATCAAGGAATTAGCACAGAAACTTCTTCAGACATTGTCCCTTTTCTCATTAGAACAGAAGATGAAGAGTGTGCACATCCTGTTCTTTCCTTCAGTCACCTCATCTTAAAGCGGTCCTTTCAGGGTTTTGCAATTTAATAAACCCAATGACACCCCTAATTAAAGTCACCAAAAAAAGATGACCGGTTTTCATTTTTTAAACAAAATGAAAGGAAATCATGCTTTACCACAGCACTATCACCAATTCTGTGCTACCTCCAAATAGGAATTCCGGAGCATAAGATTTATAGTGTCAGAAATTAACGATTTTCCTTGGTTTTACCTTGAATGGTGATTAAAAAGCAGGAAAATAGTTTGCTGTGCCTAAATGAACACCCAAGTCCGTACAAAGTCTATATGACAGTCAAGCAGTATTTTTCTGTTTGTGATCATTTCTTCAAGAGAAAAATTTCCTCAACAGGAATTTAATATGCAGCTTCACCCCAAACTGGGGGACAAGATAAAACTACTTCGTGTGTTCTAGAGTCGTTGCTCTCAACTTACAAAGATAACAAATCTTAACGTGAGTAATCTTTACAGCCCTTCATCTCTTGTAGATAGATGCCAATATTAACTTGATTAGATGCGTATGTTGTCATTGAGGTTTTGAGAAATTTTTTCTAATAGTGATAAGCATTAGAAAAGTTATCTACCTCATCTTAAGACATTATTGGTTCTTTACCTTTCTTCGTTTGGGCTGAAGGTCAGGAATATTCAGTTCATCTATGTCTGGAGGCTAAGGGAAAAAATAAAGCCTAAATGTTAGAGGGCTTTTTTTTTTTTCCCTGAGAGAGAGGGTTCCCTGCAACAAAAACATGGGGGTTCATGGTCAACTTACAGAACTCAGCGGCAAAAGAGGTGGCATTTTTTTAGCATCCTGTTGAAAAAATAATGCAATAAATTAAACTTGACACAACATAAGGAAGAACAGTTTTATCTTTCTCCTTTGATGGCACATTTACTAAGTTTTATAAACATGTGAAGCAAAAACAGATTAAAAGAAGTGCTATTTACCATCAAAGGGCTTGACAGCTCCTCCAGTGCCTCCAAGACGCACCGTGTTGCGGTACTTAAGGTAGCGTGGGACTGCACTTTTGCTTGTCTAACTCTCCTTCTCATTTGTACCTGGAAAATTAGCATTTTAAGTGTTACAATGGTCAATTCCGAGTTAAGGAGGCATGTATTTTATGTTCCAAGGCTACACTGATGATATAACCAATATATTCTGATGACAGAGAAAAATGCAGTCACTGGGAGTTCAAGCCGTAAAGAAGAGTACATGCTGAGTACAACGAAGTTTACCTTGGGCCTCAGTGCATCTTGCTCGTGCTTGTTGCGCGAGTAATAAAAGAAATCCATACTTGTAAAAGGTCAAGACGGATGATGCTAGGACTGCTAAGGCCTCCAAAGCAGTAATCAGGGAAACAGAACTCAAGAAAAGGCTTGTGGTACAGAAAGTGCTTTCGCTAACAACACACACCTCAGAGTTTCACGATGGTGTAGGTGTACCATCTTAAAATCAGTGTATACAATCATAACCAGGAACTAGTTTTACTTCTCTCTTGCTTCCTCCCTTCCCCCAAGATTAAAGTTGGCTGCAAATCTTTGTTTTAAAAGATAAAGATCCGATTTCAACTGTAACAGATCTAAATATTACACTGAAAAAGTGAACTGTTTATTTGCACCACCCAGCTTCAAATATCATGCAAAAACTTCCCTCCGGGCAACCTGTGCCAGGGCTCCATCACCCGCACAGTAGAAAAGCATTTCCTGATGTTCAGACAGAACCTCATTTTGTTTGTGCCTGTTGCCTCCTGACCTGGCACTGGGCACCGCTGAAAACAGAATGGCTCTCTTTGCACCATCCCTTCAGGTATTTACATACATCAATAAGATCCCCCCCCCCGAACCTCCTCTCCTCCATGCTGAACAGTCCCAGCAGTCTCGGCCTCTCCTCAGAGGAGAGGTGCTCCCAGACCCTTGATCGTCTTGGTGGCCCTTCGCTGGACTCTCTAGTACATCGCTGTAAGCCACAGCAAGCAGCAATAAGCAAGCTTCTCTCTCCTTTAAAAGCCTAGTATTTTGGTTCCTCTTGTTACCATAATCCACTACTATTGTTAGAAAACAAAAATAGCTGACCAAAGAGGGTTCCCAGCTTTGAACCACAAGTTTTCAAGGTTTCCCCTAAGTGAGCTACTGCCCTGTTCCATTGCAGAGCTGGACTGTCAGAACAGATCCAGCAAACCCATGTTTTCATTTCCTTAAATTCCTTTTGATTTATTGATAAAAGTCAAATTGATTTAAATGCATTCCTTACCAAACCTGATTTGACTTTCCTTTTCGATTCAGCTCTAGCTAATCAGAGTTGTCAGCAGTTTTTATTTGCTATTTCCAAGAACCCTTGGGGGCAAATACCTCTCTTCAAGAACTATATGAATCATTCAAAATAGAAAGCACGTTACTGCTTATCTTGGGACTGCATTTAGGCCTGCATGCCTCTACGTAACAGAAGAGCAAAGGATCAGCAAAGTTAATTTTTAGATATTTTTAAGAGCGCAGTTTTATACAACAGATCCATAGCATGAGTGCAGGCATGCTTGCAAAAAAGATCCACACATAAACATTGGCCAGGTTTGACTACTGTAGCTTTTGCTACTATAAACACAACTTTTCAAAGTTATGCTGCCATTGTTTTTATTTACATTAAAATAACACCATGCAATGTAGTCAGAGGCAGACAATGGCACTCAAATGGAACTTCTTGAAAGAAGTAACAACAGAGGAAACCCCAACTACCAACAACTAGCCTAAACTGTCATTCTTGCTCTTTCTGGCAAGTATTACCTGTGGTAAAAACTGCTAAAAAAAGAACTTAACCCGAAATCAATCTCTTCTATTTTGTAGACCAAGAGGGCAGAAGAGCAACTGGTACCACATATTCAGCTCCCTGCTCAAAGCTCCTTTGGCAGTGCTGCTTTTTTATTTCCATCACTATTTCCCATTACCCTACTTTTCTCATACCTGATAAGGTTCTATCATCGACGGCTTTGGTATTACAGCTGCACCACCATAGACCGTCTTTCCAGGGTAAAATGGAGAATACCCAGGCTGGTTTTTCTTACAGTCAGATGTGCTTCCGCGTGCCTACAGAAACACAGTACGTTAAGTGGACAGAAAAAACAGCTACACATTCAAAGTGATTGAAAGAAAGACTGTGCAGTACTTACAGCACACATTCCTCCAAAAGCAGATAAACTGAATGCAGGTTTCTTAGAGCTAGCTGCAGAATGCTGCGAGAGGGAATGAGTTCTATCAGCTTCTGTGGTCCAGAGCAGTGATGAAGAAGTATTTTTTAAAACTCCAACATCTGCCAAAGTGACATATATGTTAAATGTAAACGTCTCTAGTACATACAGAACTTTAACAGTAAAGACCACACTAATTCAAGTTCTTCAACACGGAAAAATAAACGTGGCTTCAGCTTCTTTAAACAGCTTCGTGTACAGACTGAAAATCAAGTAACAGCTACAAACTTGAAAACTGTTCACTGAGCTGCAAGTTTTTCAGCAATCTTAACAAGTTAATACTGTGCTTCCAGTGCAGAAGATTTTTTCCTTTTGTGCTAAAAGCAAAGAGAACTGCATAAACGTCAGTGCATTTGTACAGACAAAGCTTTTTTCTATGTTGGTGAAGGCTGGAGGCCAGCACAGATCATAATTGCACAGGTTTTACACCTGGAAGATTCCTACAAGGCTGCTCTAAGAGTTAACGATCTTCTTCCCACATATGTTTTACGACGACACACCAGAAAGTTGTAGTGCACTCAGGTTCACTGCTAAAGCCCAGCAACTCTACTCTCAACCATACACAAGTTCTCTGAAAAACCTGCTGAGGACACTTCAGTCCCTGTCTATCTGGGACTAGAAAAAGCTGCAAACCTGCTGTTTGCCCTTTCAATGAGAAGACCTAGGTACCAATCTACATCGACACAATGCTTATTTCTTATTTTAAAATGGTGTGCCTTCCTTACGGAATTTGGCAAAAGACATGAAAGTATTGACAGCTGAAGCCTTCTACCAAGAAAGGTCAAAAAAACAGCCCGCAACGTGTTATGTAGAGTACTTTCCTTATCTTCTCCTGCTAAAACACAGGAAAACATCTTGTGATTCTATTTGTCACCTACACTTATTCACATTTAACCAGATGTCTTGTCTGTTAGATATTCTGAGTCACTCTTCCTTCTAGACAATCAGCCTAGTTGTCAAGCTACAGCAAGTCAGCCTGATTTCCTACCATCCCAGTTCAAAATTTACATATAACCTAGCTGAAAGTGTGTATTTCAGCATCGACTCTTTGTAACAGCAGGGTATCACAAACCTATTCCAAAGCAGGCTTCTATTCAAAAGGTGATAGGATTATACACTTCTAAAACTAAAACAAATTTAATTCTTGCATCCAAAGCTGACATTCTCCTATTTTGTTTACTAAGGTGATGTGCAATATTAAAGAACGCAAAGTACTTCACCTTAAAAAAAGTCAACTAAACAGAGAACAGAAAAATCACCTTTGTCAGATGCTCTAGAGGAGAAGCCACCGGTTCTTGACATGTTGTCATCGTCTTGTTGAGAGATAGCATCTTTGATTTCTTTTATGAAAGAGAGTCTGGGACTGCCAATGCCAAATATTGAAGATGTGGAGGGCTGAGAAGGTGGGACAGAAGAATCCGACATGGTATAATTCAAATGGCTCCGATGAAGAGCGGGCCTTGTTAAGGCAACTGGGTAGTTCAGTGCTGAGCTACTTGTGGATGGTTCTAGACAAGAACAGGGAGATAATTAGCTTTGCTATAGACAAGCTCACAGAAGCCAAAACCTGTTTCCTATCAACAGCCATGCTATTGCCAAGTTCTAAGCGCAAAAATAGAGAAGCCAAATTTAACTTCTTCCTCACCCAGATACGGTTTCATCTAACTGTCTGGCTACAACAACAACACTGCTTGCAATACTGAGTATTAATGTTGCATTCAGAAGAAGTTAACTGTGAGGTTTCACAACACCAGATTCCGACCCCGTGTTCAAATGCTCTAACACTGACTTGGCCTTTCACCAAGTCAAACACAAATACTCCTCCTCGCATGTACAGCTTGCAAGAAGCTTTACAAAATTTGAGATTACATGCTAAGGCACAGATAACACTGCAGCTTATATAATGGTGGAACAAAGGTCATTAATCTAAACACACAGCATGAAAATGAACACTTGCAGTACTTTTTTTCCCAAGTTCTACCAGATCAGCTCATCTTAGAGGCAAAACACTATCTCCTACCCATTAACTACTGGGATTTTGACCCAAGAGAAAAGTACGTTGACCCAAGTAACCAGATGAGCATTTTTCCCTCTTGAAGCAAAGGGGATTCTGCCAACAACAGAAGCAACTGACTTTCCAGTTTACCTATGGTTATCTACGCACACTCAGACAAAACTTCTTTACTTATTAAAAGCTGAGGTCCCCAAAACAGCTAATTTAAGAGAAACTCCAGTAAGAGTATGTGCAGATTTATACAATAAGACTACAGTAGCACTGAGAGGCATCGGATATAAGACAAATTCATCTTTATGCAGTAAAGGGGTTACAAAACCTCGTTGCCAACGCTCCAATACCTTTTCAAGACACCCCTTCCCCCTGCGTAGACCTTAAGGTTATTGAATATTTAAGGATAATAATGTCATAAACCACATCCATGCACAAGTTCCCTAGTTCTCCATTAAGTTAACAAGGAACTTGACTAAATTGATCAAAGCCCAAAACAAAACCAAACAAAAAAAGTCAGGACTCAAGATGGAATTTTCCTGTGCCACTCTAGCATCTATTATTTTGTTTTGAAGACTGCAAAGCAAATTCATTTTAATTGCCTTACGCAATTAGATTTTCATTCCGTTTCTTGTAAAATATGGAAAATGCAACCTAGCACACTTGCAAATGAGTTCTTTCCAGCATTTAGCACCTGGCTAATAGAGTACGTAAAGTTGACTGATGCCTTCCAAGAGCATAAGAGGTATGCTTCGTAATTGTGCGGACAGTTTAAAGCTAAGACAGTTTCACAAACAGTTGTTTCGACTTTCTTGTTTGTTTTTTCATTCTGTCAAAACCCTCCTTCCAATTTCCTTTTGATATTCGGATTCAAAACTAGAAATCTGTGAACAAACACAGGTGGCCAGAATTCCGAATGATTTTTCACGTACCTTGTCTATTAAGTGTCGCTCGTTCAGGCATGTATCTCCCATCATTTAGGGTACCTCATCTGCGTAATTATGATGCTGGTTTACTGGAGTCGCCGCCTGGTTTGCAGATTTATTTGCAGCTGCACACTCATTCTCACGCTTATTGAAATACTTCTGCAGCCACGCCGGTACAATACTTTTCACCGTTTCTGTCACTCTGCTAATTATTCCCTGCTTGAAAGAAAAAACACTCGTTTAATTACAGAAACACAGTCAACGGCATATGCTGGGATACAACTTTCCACGGACCCTGAAGACAGATATTATATAGCACATACTCAGAAGACGACGACAAGGTTGATCCTTAGCATAGGACCGCTATACTTCTGGTACACCTCAAATTCAGCTGACATTGATTTACGACTACTTACCGGTTTCTGCACTTCCAAGTGACCTTGGCAAAGTTCAAAATTTTGAAACTTCTGCCAAAATTCACCTGCAGGTTGTCAATTCGCAAGGGCATCAGGAAACTCTGTGCCTAAATACCTCCTGACCTACAGACTTGTTCCAGGACTCTTCCTCTTCGCGCTCTCACGTGAAAACCAACTAAACCTGCCTACAGCCACACGACGGGCTGCTCGCCTCCCTGGTGCGAGCAAACACGAAAGCTAACTCAAGCAACCCCAACGCAATGACAAGTGGCAGGAGGTGATCAAGTTGAGCAAAAATCTGTTCATCAGTTGCTAACGCACGGGTCTGGCTGGGTCTGCACCAACAGCCCTGCTCGCCTGCTTCTCTGGTGTCAGGCAACACGATTGTCTAGTCTAAACTACTATTTGGGCGTCGAAAACTGGTAATGTAGTTTGAACATGCAGAAGTTACAGTCTAATCATTCTGAAACAAGAACTGTGCTGTATTCAACTCTTAAAACAAATTAGCATAGAAGCCAAAACAAAAGCCTGAATCATTTAGGTTTTCCATACATGATAACGCAAACTGCGGAAAATAAGACAACCAGACAGCCCTGAATCTGGGGTTAAGAGAGAGGCATGGGAAGAGGAAGAAAGGAAGACCGAAAACACAAAGCCTTTCTCCAGAAAGACATCTTAATTCACGGTTTGACATTTTTCCTAGTGATCTGTAATTTCATCGTGTACTTGCACGAAGACAGAATAAATACCCAAGGACAGTTAAAACCACGCAGGACACCACCAAATAAACACAGCCATCACGGTTAAGACCTTAAAACGCACACAGGTACAAAATGCTCTGGATGTTGCTATTCTTCTCCAAAAATCCTACGCCTCAGCTTCCCTACAAAAACCATTAAACGCACGTAATGCCATAGCTGACACACAGTCCGACACGCGGTACCAGCGGAGGCAGCCCCTTCCTCCTCCCCTGCCCCTCAGTTCCACGTTCCCCTTTTATTGGGGCCAATATTCCTCTCCGATGAATGGAAGCCTATCAGGAACTCACATGGGTCCAAGTTTGCAAAAACAGACATTAGAATAGGCCTGCAGGATTCTGTTGCTGTGCAAATCCTCCCCGTACAGAAAGCGGCCCGAGACTCAAGACGGAACAAGTCACAGGCACTCAGAAGAGCAAACACCCCCGTCACCTTGAATAACCTAAATGAGTAACTACAGAGCCTAGCTAGACGAATAATTAACCAAGATGACATTTTACCATCCAAACCTAAAGCCAGACTGCTTTGACCCTTTCTTGCATATGGCAGCCTGGCTGCTGCTCCCCGCATCAGTGGCGTTTGAAGAAAGAACTGAACCCCGAATAATTTCTCCAGCCCTTTCAGAAGCCACAAGTGGGAAGTACTGACAGCCTGCTCCATCCGACCCGTGCATGGCGTAAGACAAGAAGCTTTGTCAATGCCAAAGCAAGGAAAAGTAAAATATGCTGAAACATACCTCCAATTTCCTGCTGCACAGCAAAAAGGTTGATTAAATGACCGCAAAAGAACAAGGCAGGCGCTGTGAATGAGCCAGAGCCTGCCATCTAACATCGATATTGCCAAAAAAAGAAACAAACGCTCCCCCAGAAGTAAAACACACCCTGCACACGTGCCCACTCACGACAAGGTTCAAGAAATTGAGGACTTCCCAATGGTGTCTCCCACCTGCCCGTCACAGCTACAGACCCAGAAATAAAGCACCACATCCCAGGTTCCCTACTGCCATCATTAATCCCTCTAGGGTTTAACACCCAACAGGCTGCTGCACAAGCCCCCTGCTTTCAGAGGAGGGAGCTGCTCTGGGGGCTCCCCATTGCCACAGGACAGGCAGTTTCACCCCAGCCGCATGGAGCAGCGCTTCAGCCGGTGACTGTGCTCCCGTCCTTCAGCAGACTCAGCATTAGCCCACTGATTTCAGCAGCCTGAGAGCTGCCGTCAGTCTCAACAGTTGCCTGCTCGTCTGAAACGCACTCGCACGCTATTCTCGTCCTAAAATAGCAGCAGGAAAGGAGAACAACACAGCACACCAAAAAATACCCCCTGAAAAGGCCCAATAGCTTACTAATAGGGATTTACAGCAGCTCCTCAAATGCTGCGCATCCCAAGAGCCCGCAGCCCTGCTACATACCTCTCTGGCAAGGTCTACACACACCAAGCAACAGTAGCTACAGTTACCAGAGGCAAGCTGCCTTCAGAGGCATCCCGAAACAAAAGATACAGAGGGGGAAATACCAGTAAACAACCAGGTGTCCTAGTTTACTACTTTGAAACACCATTTCTTTAAACGGTTTATATAAAGGGAAAAAATAATGTTACAGTTTAACTTCCGAACTTAAAAGCGGGCTATTTCTTGGCAAAAAATACTTAAGGAATAGGACAGTTCTCCCAGCTTGCCAGGGGTCTCTCACACAGCAATGGGGGCAAAAGTATTGGCAGGAAGACTTGGCAACGATGCCTTACTGGAAACCGTCTATTTTTGTAACAGAGCTGATGTCAGTATGAGAGACTTAAGTAAATCCCACTCTCTGACAAAGGACGGACTAAAACAATTATCCAGAAAGGCAACACACTAACACAAATTCTTCAGAGATGCAAAAAGCACAACCCGATAAAAGAGCTAATTCATTAGATGCACACCTCTATCAGCATCAACTTTTACCTCCAGCTGAACTCTGATTCTTGTATTTTCATTTTCTCCTCCAATTTCAGGAGTCTCAGGTCTTAAAGCATACGAATCAGTAAATCCTCAAAAAGAAAGCCTGCACCTGAGGGTGAAGTTCAGCGAGCGGCAGCGGATCGGAGGAAGCGCTTCCCACCACCAAAAAGGGCTTCCAGGCTCTCTCCATCCCCCACGGTTACCTTGTGCCAGCTCTGGCGCACAGCAGGCTGCCCTCCCTGCTGGCTGCATTCGTTAAGCTGGCAAAACGCACGGGTTTCCCTGCTGGACTAATGAATTCAGCTGGCGTGGTGCAACGCAAACGGCCCAGGAGGGAGAGCAAGATCAAGCAGCCAGCACACGAGAAGGAAGAAACGAGACCTCTCCCTCCTTTTGATTGAGTGTGCGCACACCATGCGGGTTGTATCAAACCGACCCAGACAAACATTCACCTGTGGGCTGTGATGTATTTTGGGGGCAGCCCCGGGGCCAGCTCACCGTGTGCTTACACAGGCGCTGGTGCCAACCCCGACGTGATCCCTCTCTTGTGCAGCAGCGCGGGCTCAGGCTGCCTGCGGGCTAACCAAGCTCTTGCTGTCTAGGGAGTGCGTTCGGTTTGGATGCAGGACAGCAGAGTTTTTCAGTTAGAAGAAAAAGACAATAAAGCTTACGACTTAATATGAACAGTATGTTACAGGAATGTCATTAATTACGCGACAGTGGAAAAACCAACCACTTCATTGAAAGCAACTGGACTAGTTCAAATTTATTTCTAAAAATCGTGAAGAAGGGATTATGCTTCCCCATGCCAAAGCGAGCCTCCTTTTCCTTACCGTAGCTAGCTTGAGAAGGAACCTCCCAGGGAAATTCTGCTGCTGCTTTACATTTCAGCGCTGCTTGATGATTTCTCCCATGAAGACACAGCCCACTGTTACCATTTCCACCCGAGTGCAAAAGGCCAGTAGATGCTCTGACAGCTAAATCAGTGTCTAACTCGCTAGGTTAAATCCTTGTGGCGCTGAACGGCCTTATCTCAAGCTTGGTCCACACCTTCAGCCGACAACATTTCAAGAGAGGGTGCAAAGCACAAGACACCTTCCTTCTTGGTAAAAAGCACTACTTTAGGCTGTCGCTAATCCTCAGCAGAGATCAGTGGTGGTGCTGTAGATCTGAGCGCACGTTTTGTGCTACACTTTGAGATAGACACCTATCAGCACCAAAACCAAACGTTGAAGACCCAGGAGCAGTCTTAGGCGAGTGTGTTCTTAAACCCAAGAAGGGACGCATAAGTACGGTTACTATTCTTTACTGAAAGACTGCTTCACATATGCAGCGTGTCTGCAGCTAAGTCTCAAAGCCAGTCTATAGAACCGCACTAACAAAATGCAGTTCAGATTTGGTTTTCCCTTACCACACGGTCTAAACCAATTATTCTGACTCAACAAGCACAACGACAACTACAACAATACCTGGTATGAGGATAACAGACTCTGGCATAACCCAGGAGACAAGAAGTTTAAAGTTTTCAGAATTAAGATGATCAAGAAATACACTGCCCATAGCACCAGATGGTCTTTACAGGGCCATTAGCAGTTACCAGATTTAGCAAGATGGATGGTAACATACTTTTATATTTAGGATTTAAGTCGACAACGTGATGCCTAAACTGCCTATCTTATTTCCAGGTATTCTCCATTAAGTAAAACACAATTCATTGCAGCAGTTCACCACCAACCAACGTATTTGCCAAAAGAAACAGCAAACTCCCTATTCCCCCCACTTATTCTAAGTCAATCTGTGCATACGAAGGCACACCACATGCTACAGATCCGCTACCTCCAACAACACGCTTGACTCCCAGCAATGAATTAAACAATATTTTCAGTGCCACTTTGCCTAAAAGCACTCGCAAGCTACAGCTCGCAGGCGGGAGGACACGTTCTGCAGGTCAAACACAAGCAGGGGCAGGCCAAGTCCCACAACAGCTTCTAAAAGATGGTTAAATGCCACTCGAGGGCAGCTCACTGCTTGATGCTCATCGTCCCCGTGCCCAACGCTTTCTAGTGCAGAAGAGACGTTACAGGTAACCTGAAACACATCTCACAAACT